AAATTATCTCTGAGGTGCAAGTAAATTTGGGTGGCCACTTCTTACCCAGTGCCTCATGATGAAGAAACTGGTCTATAATGAGTTTTCAAAATGAAACCAGCAGATAGTGGTGACCAGTGGCCTTTTATCTTCCCATAACACCAGTTCTCATCTTTCCTGACCATACTGCTTCATGCAAGAGCAAGAGTGAGGTCCTTCTCAGGGGACTAGCGAGATGGGGTTTTCTTGTGACTAGCCAGAGATGAGAATGCCATACCTCTTTAAGATATGGGGTACACTAGAAAGTTATGTCTGGCTTATATGTATATAATATATCTCTGGGAACTAGAAAAAGTAGCCAACATCCCCAGATGTTCGAAACAGATTTTCCTCCCAACAGATAAATGCTAGGCCATGGTTTTGATTTTGATAATTACTATGTGGAGGTGAAGTTGAATCTTAGCCAGGCCTTAAAAGAAAGAAAGAAAGATACAAATAATGAAAGACAGATTGATTTCCTGTTAACAGATGAATAGAAAATACTTCAAAAAAATAGTGACCAGCCATTGAAATTTGTACCATGTCCCCAAATTTGCTCAACATCTCTTCAAGTTTGAACTAGGTCATTACGATTTTTGCTGAAGGCCCCTGTGAATTTCCACCCTTCCCTCACCCCCCTCTCCATGCCCAAAAGTGAACACTATTCTGATTTAGGTTTCTAACTTGCCATATGTATTTGGGTGTTCATGCATGTATATATCCCCAAATGATACATGGATTGTTTTGCTTATTTCTAAGCTTTATATAAATTGTACTATACATGTCATTTCCTCTCTTGCCTTTCCCCCCACTTAGCATGTTTTGAGATTTATTTGTGTTGAACTATGTCATTTGTGTTCACTCATTTTGGCTTCAGTATCATTTCCCATTGCATAAATATGCCAGCATTCGTTTATTCATTCCTGTTTTATGGACACTGAGCTGTTTCCAGTCCTTGCTTTTGCAAAGAAGAGGTACAGGGAAGTTCTTTTTAAAGCAAGTGTTATGGATTGAATATGAAAGTCACCTTTGACTTGTGTATTAAATGCTGGACACACTGTTTTGAAAGTTTCTGGAAGGTTTAGGAGGTACAGGCGAGTTGGAGGAAGTACATTACTCAGGGCATGTCATTGAAAACTATATCTTGTCATGGTTTCTCTGCTTCTTCTCTGCAGTGAGGTAAAGAAATTCCCCCATCACACACTGCTGCCACCATAATGTTCTGTTGAAAAACATGAGGCCAAGCAGTCAACTTAGACTGACACTCCAGGACTGTCCTTCAAAACAAATCTTCTGTCCCTTAAGTTTAGGAATTTTGTCAGAGCTATCAAAAAGTTAAGAACAGCCAAGAATTTCTCCCTGTGGTGTAAGTAAAGGGTGCTGTATCATAGTTACATATTTGTTGTTTTGTTTGTTTTGAAAGTCTCTCTTTGTAACCCCAGTGCTGTCCTAGAAGTTGTAGATAGCTCAGGTTGGCCCCATACTTGCCACAGTCCTTCTGTATCTGCCTGCCAAGGGCTGAGTTACAGATACACAGCACAATGCCAGATGGGTTATGTGGATCTTCAAGTAAGAAAATACTGCTGAGGTCCACCAAAGGGCTGGAACTAATTCTGTCTGTCCCCACGAGCTCTTAGCCAGCACCTTTTGTGTGCATGGTGCTAGTGTTAGAGCCCAGGCTGAGTGCATGCTCGGCAGATATGCTGCACTAAACTAAACCCAGCCCTGGTCATCTTCTCACTCCATGGGAGTCTTTATGTGCCCTGCATCTCATTCCCTTGCCAGTGCAGTACCAGCCTATGGCTGGTTTGGATCCATGTTTTACTGTGAGTCTCATGTAACTTAACTTAGAATAATATATTTTTCAGTCTTTCCCATATTTGACATTCTTTTCTACCCACAAGCAATAAAAACAATCTCTGTGTTTTCTACTAAAAGTTTGAAAGTTTTGGGCTGTTAGAGGTGGCTCTGTAGTTCAGAGCACTTGCCAGAGGTTTGGGCTTTGGTTCCCAGCACCCATATCAGGCAGCGCACAACCACCTGTAACTCTAGCTCCAGAGAATCTGATGTTTCTCTGGACTTCATGGATGTGCTCAGATGTACACAGACACACACACACACACACACACACACACACACACACACACACACACACACACACACACACTTAGTAAACTCAATATTTATCCATAGTGGCAAATGCCTCTAATCCCAGCACTTGGGAGGCAGAGTCAGGCAAATTTAAGTAAGTTTGAAGCCAGCCTGGCCTGTTTAGTAAGTTCCAGTCCAGCCAGAGCTACATAATGAAACCCTGTCTCAAAAAAAGTGTTTTAAACTTTTCTTTTTCATCTCCTAGATTCTAACCCATGTAGAATTACACATAAACATTCTTTTTCTTTAAGACAGAGTCTTGCTATTTCACCCAGGGTAGCCTTGAGCTCTGGGGTCCAAGTGACCCTCCCCCCTCGCTTCCCAAGTTGCTGGAACTGTAGGGTGCACACACCTCGGGGCTTGCATCCAGCATAGTTGTTCTTTAGAAGTGTGTGGGCAGCAATGTAAATTCCACGTGACTCTGGGGAGTTTGCTAACTCTGGGCTGTTGGTGTGGGTCTTGGTAGTCTGTGCCATTTTTTCAGATGCTGAATACATTTCTCTGAACACACGGCTTTTCCAAAAAACAAAAACTATGGTGATTTGATCCTGAGTTGGGGGGTCCACAGAACCCACATAGAAAGCCAGTGTGCCTTGCTAGCCAGCCAGTCCAGCCAATTAGTGAGCTCCAGGTTCAGTGAGAGATCCTGTCACATAAGACAGAAGACATCTAAGATTGACCTCCGGCTCCTCACACACACAGTCATGTGAGTGTGCACACATAAGCATGTACACACACCTGACTTCCAATCACCTTCTAAAACAAGCATAATAAGACTGCTGTGCTGCCCCAAAGTTGAGAAACTCAGGAAGTTTAGGCTCTGGAGCTGGAGAGATGGCTCAGAGGACAAAAGCACTTGCCCTCAAGCATGAAGAACCTGAGTTGGAATAACCAAAACACACACAAAGCTAGGCGTGGTAGTGCACATCTCTAATCCCAGCACTCCTAAAGCAGGAGAGGAGGTCAAGAGGTCATAACCCCTGGGAGTTCACAGGCAGCTAGCCTGGCACCAGGTACACAATGCAGTGGCCAAAACTCAGAGACCCCGCTTCCAAACAAGGTGGAAGGTTGTGTTCTCACCTCCACACACATGGCATGGCATGTACATGCCCGTGCACACACGTATATATTATACACAAACAGAAAGTGGTTTTGACTATCCATATTTCTTCATCAGATTCCTGTTGTTAGGGTAGCTTTCTTTGCCACTCATGGAAAGTAATATGTCTTGGTTATATGAACTAAGCATTAACATTCCCCAAATCCTTATAATATTGTCAAAATTATAATCACTATAACCATTAAGCTGATTGTATCTCTCAGTAGCTAGTTTGTCTTTAGTTACTAATTCTCTCATCCAAAGTCCAGGGGAAACCAGAGGTCACAGAGTGTCAGAGCCTTAAATCCCTCCCCTGGCCAACTAGCTATAATTCTGAAAGGCTGTCTAACAGGTCATCAAACCTTGTCCTAATATTTTGACCACTACCATCCGAGTTTAGTGGTAGTCAGGGGATTTGTCATCCCACTACTGACTCCACCTTATTGGGGCCTTATGTGACCCCCAGCCTGTGGCCTCAGGCATTTCTGTATTCCTGGTTATCAGTGCCTAGAGGCATCTAATCAAGCCATCCTGAACTATGTGTGGCAGTTTATTATACCTCTGGAGCACTGATGTTCTCTTCTACAAAATTGGAAACAATGAGCTCATTCAGGTTGGACCCCCAGAGAGACAATGTAAGGAAACTTCTAGTATCCTTCTAGCCATTGGTGATCAATGAGGAAAATTGATCTCTTTCCAGATAATTGGCATTCAAGAAGACCAGAACAAACAAAAAAAGTGGATGCTGCCAAGATCTGACTAAATATGGTTAAAATGTCATCAAACAGCATCTAGAGAAATCCTAAGTATAGCAATAACAAGTTACCACTTTTGCCTTATGAATAAGTAAGGTTTTTGTGACACTTTTTCAGTGCTGATGAGGGTGCATTCTGCAATTTCTGTGATGCTGGTAGCTTTGTAAACAAGTGCATTCTAGGTAGAAAGAGGTTCAGACATGTTCTGGGAACCTTCAGAATACCCTTATGCTTTGGCCTGTTCTAGAGACTGTCCCCTAAGGAGATGTCACTGATGAGGCTAGAATCCATAATGAGGCTGTCTGCCTCAGCATCTGGCTTTTTTACTTTGTTGTTGTTTTATTTTATATTTTTTTCTCTTGTGTGTACGAATGTTTTGTCAGCATTTATGCATGTGTGCCTTGTGCATGCCTAGTGACTGTGGAGGTCAGAAGAGGGCATAGGATCCCCTTGAACTGGAGTTACAGATGGCTGAGTCACCTTGTGGGTGCTGGGAACCAAACCAGTTCACCTGAGTCTCTCCAGCCCCTCAGCATCTGTTACTAATAATAAAAATCTAGGGAGCAAATTAAGTGGGAGAATGCTACTATAACTTAAACAATGTAGCCAGTATTGCATAGCCGTTACAAATTGTAAATTTTTAAGACGGTCATGATGGGAAATAAAATGCAAACCCTTTGTGTGTCTACTAGAAAGGGCAGGGTATGAAGCCATACATACACTCAGTATGATTCAAACTAGGTTTTCATCCACACTCACTAGCTAGCAGGAATTATATCCACATTTCACTGTGGTTTCTTGAAGTAGCTTTTCCTGGCCAGTGAAAACTGTATTTTTTTTTCCTTTAAAGTTCTGCTTTCCAAGTTTTCTGTAATGGGAAAGGATCGTGTGTACAGTGAGTAACACACACCTGCTCAGCGTGTATACACTAGGTGCTAGTTGCATAGAGTGGCTATAACAGTCTGCTTGGTATGCAGCTGCTGCTGGACACCCATTCCCTGAAGATGGTCCTGCTGGATCTCCCATCCATCGGCTCCCAGGTGGTGAGGAAGGCGCCTGCCAGTTACACTAAGATTGTCGTGAAAGGCATGACCCGGGCTGAAATGATCCTCAAGGTGTGTCTTCTCTGGAACTCTGTTCAAAGGGGCTGGTCCCAGCTTAGATCCCTTGTTTCAGGGAGTTTGGGATTTGCAAACACAGAGTCTGCTCTGGCCCCTCTGGCCCCTCGGGCCCCAAGAGTTGTCCACACTCTATGATGTTGAAAATCAGTGCACAGTTATCTGGGGATCTGCAAGCCTTTCTGACAGGTGAGTTCTGTTTAATGAGCGCTACCAGCTGAGCGTCAGGTGGCAAATCAGGGGAAAAGTCCAGGGATCCCTTGTCACTCAGCAGAAATTTTAGGCCCAGCTGTCACTCCCTTCCCCAGAAGCCTGTGGCTTTCCATGTTTGGCACCTTTACGTGAACTCTGAACAGATGTTGTAGTAACTGAATCTAATTGGCAAATGAGCTTTTTAATGCCTCGTTTGACAAGCAATTGAACTTGGTGCTCTGGTAGATAGTGCCTGCCTCTGAACTCCACCTGGGCCTGTCAGAAAAGGCTGGCAGCTGGGAAGCAAAGGCTCTGTTCTCAAGAGAGCTGAGAGTCCAGCACCTGTGGGCTCTTCAGGCCCATTTCCCAGAGTGACTCAAACGATGGCAGGAAAATAAGGCTGCAGTGGACTAGCCTGGCTGCAGACCTCAGGATCTGGACCACACAAGGGTCCTGGGAAACCTACAAACAGCCTCACGGCTATCCTCCCCAGCTAGCTTGCTCAAGGGAGGAGAGATGCATTTTGGGAAATATCTGCAAAGGACTTTTGAAGAAACTGCTCCTTGTCACTTTCTGGTACATTCTCGGGAATTCAAAACAAAATCAACCCACTAGGGAAGAAAAAACATATTCCAGAACCGAATGAAGCAAATCTGAGGATGGTGATGCCATCTGTCTGCATAATAACTGGTAGTTAAATGAATGTGGCAAAACGAAGTTCCAGGTTTCAGATCTTCAAGAGAGTGAGGCCAGTTTGGAATTTTTGTTCCTGAGAACATTTGTGGCCACCCATTCCATGTACTTCTCACCCCTCGCAGTAACAGAAGAAGTGGAGACCTCACCACCCATGCAATCCCCCAGCAGATGGTCTCTTCCATGCCTCCTGGTGGAATTAGGAACCTCAGGTGTTGGGGTCCAGGAATCCGATGTTAAAAAGCAATCTGGGCACTAATGATGACTCAGCCTCTCTTGGGGATACTACTCTAATTGAACATCAAGTTGAAATGAGCCATCAGAGCATTTCCACACATGGGTTTGGAGCTGGCAATAGGCCCCTTCATGGTCAGCTGGAAAGTAAGGATCGCTGAGCCTGCCCTCCAGCCTAAGGACTCCTACCTACTCTTACCCTCTCTGTTGGCAGGTGGTGATGGCCCCTCATGAACCATTGGTGGTATTTGTTGACAACTACATCAAACTCCTTACGGATTGCAACACAGAAACCTTCCAGAAAATACTGGACATGAAGGTAAGCTCTTTTTAAGTGCATCCCATCCAACCTAGGGCATGGAATGTGAATATAGAATTAGAGAGGTTGCCTCCAAATGCAGATTTCTGGCCTCACCCTGCATCCCAGATTGCCAAGAGTCTCTCCTGAAGGCTGATCCTGGTCGTACAGACTGCAGCATCCTGAGGACCACCCTGCCCGAGGGAGGACCACTGCCCCATGGAGGATGGAGCGGAGCAGTGCAAGGAAGAAGAGGGAGATCGTTTCTCTCTTCTCTTCCCAACCCTTCGTCCTCTCCCATCCTATCGCCCACTTTTCCTTCCTCAGTTTTATGTTCCAGGTCCTTGGGCTCAAGCCATTATGCAGTTAACCCAGCAGAGCTGAGGCTGGGCAAACTGCAGGACGAAGGTGTGCTTCCTCCCCTGCCACCCATTGTGGGACCGCCCCCTGACCACCCTTCTCTCCCTTTCCTCTCAGGGGCTGAAGAGGAGCGAGCAGAGCAGCATGCTGGAACTTTTCCGGCAGAGGCTCCCTGCCCCACCCTCAGGGACAGAAAGTTCAAGCACACTGTCCCTAATGGCTCCAACACCAGAGCAGGAATCGTCCCGCATCCGCAAACTTGAGAAACTGATTAAAAAGAGACTGTAAGGAATATGCAGACACTGCCAGGGACCCTGAGCAACTGATTTCTGGAAACACTCACTCTCAGGTCCTCCGTCTTCAAACCTCTGGGGTATTACGGTTATTAAAGTCTCTCTCCCATACCCTGTCTTATTCTCTATGCCAGTTAGAGAAACTGAGTGAAACTGGGCTATAAAAAGGCATTTTTAGATTATTTCCCATTCCTGAAGCTGGAGCAGCATTGGGTGAAAGGTCCATGTGGTTCACTTCTGTCTTCAGGCTGCCTATGATGGTTGAGTTGTCACTGACTCCTGTCACCTCACCACATAGCATGGAGCTATGTGCCTGCAGCTTGACTGAGAAAGCCTGGATCGGATCTCACCCCTTCCTTCCTCTGTATTTGAGGTCAAAGCCTCTGCAACCAGGGGTGCCTTCCCCCTCCTTGTCTCTGGAATGGACTTGGGGCCTGAGTGAACCAAATGGCAGATGACAGAGTGGGATACTAGCCTCTCTTTGTCAGGACCCTGCCAGGATTGGCACGCCTTATGTTAATTGCCGCTTTCTAGGACTTAAATCTACGTCTTCCATGATATGACCAAATTATCCCCGTGTTCTCCCACATCTATGTACTCCCCGAAAGACAGATGCCCTCTGCTTCTATTGCACATTGAGGAGGCAGACTGTGGATGCTGGTGTGCCCAGCCTTGGCAGCAGGTATCTGGCCTGTGATGGGCTCTTGAGCTGGTGTGGAGGCAGACCTAGAGCTGACTTAGAGACAGAGCTCTCCCTGCTCACTTGAATACATTGTGCAGCCCACTTTCCTTTGCCCCTGGGTCCTAGGGAGGGGACTGTCTTCTGAGAAGACTGTCTTCTGAAGTTCCCTTGGAAGGGCTTTCTCTGACTCTCTTGGCAGAAGCGATGGGAAGAAAGACACAGTCAGTCTGACTGCCTGATTCCCCACTCCATCGTATATTTCAAGTCTAGAGTACTTCCCATAGTCCTTGAGACTCGGTGGCCGTGTGTAGCATCACACAGGCACATCATTACTACTACCGAGAAAAGCCACCTAGGAATGTGATGACTGACCTTGCACCCCAAGCTCAGAACCTGCAACAGCCCAGAGCGTAGCGCAACCCTGTTCTGCCCATGCTGCCTACTACCAGCTCTTGAAATGAAGCTCTGCAGGGGAGAATGGGGATCTTACCAGGGCAGACATCACCCTGCTCTCTCAGCTCTTTTGAAACCAAGGCTGGATTACATGACCACTGCCTCAGTGTCACCTTTAGTGACCACTTTTGGCAGGTATAAACTTGTCAGCCAGTAGGACAGTAAAATCTGCATCCTTGAATTGATCCCAGATCCCAGTGCCAATCCTTCCATCGCCACCATAGGAAAAAAAAACTAATCTGGTTATTTCTGGATACCCAAAATACTCAGCTTGGTCCTGGGCCCTATGTCTCTCTTTCTCTTTTCTTTTCTTTCTTTTTTTTTTTTGTTCTTTTGACCATTAAACTACCCCCCAGCCCTAGAGCCTCATTTCTTCATCAGTGTCTAAACTATTCTTGCTAGTCAGTGTAACTCATGTGTTGAGCACTTTGAAATTCTAAAGAGAAAGAAACAAGTGGCAAGAAAGGTGTGTTGCCCTGGTCAGGATGCATCATAACTTAGACAAGCACAGCTCACTGGTGCTCAGGAGTGGCACTCCTCTGTGCTGCTCTGTGGGCCTGGCAGTTCTGTGGCTTGCCCTATTTTGGAAAGAAGACATCAGTCTGTCTCCAAACAGCACAGCCAATTCAGCCACCTGCCACCCACCTAGAAGAGCTGAGGAAGCCAGTAGGCTCCTCCCACACCTGACTACTGTCACCATGTTCACACGGCTTATTACACTTCTCTTTCTGGTTCATTCATGAGAGGCTGGTTTTCTAGCCATCTCTGTGGATGGCATTGAGACATCCAGCTGCTGTTTCTCCCAGCAAAGTTACTTCCTTGATGTATTACACTGTCAGCAATCACCAAGGAGCCGTCAGATAGATGTCAGTAGAAGTTATGTTAAATGTCTTCTTGATGAGGACTGAATACAGTGTGTTCTCTACAGACAGCCTATTCCTCACCTGGGGAATGCATTAGAGTCCCCTGGGGGCCCTTTGAAAACTGCAGATGTCTGGAGGCTTAGCTCTGTAAGTCTGCAATGAGGCCTCGTGTATATATGTTTAAAAGCTGTCAGTATCCACGGGAGACTGATTCCAGGACCACACACACCCCATGCAGATGCTCTGTCCCTTCTACAAATGGCAGTGTATGTAAATAATCTAAGCATATCCTCTCGTTGACACTAAATATCTCTAGAGTATGCATAATACCTCATGTGATGTAAATACTACATAAGTAGTTGGGTTGTTTTGGGCAGATTTATTGTTTTTGGGTTTTGGTAGTGGTTTTATTTTGTTTTTAAGACAGAGTTTCAGTCACTATGTGGTCCAGTCTGACCTTGAACTCATAACCCAGACTGGCCTCCCAACTGCTGGCAGTATAGGTATGCACTGCCATACGTTGAAATAGTTGTTACTCTGTGGATGGCTTAGGGACTAATCACAATCGAGAAACTAGTCTGTATGTGTTCAAACAGGTTTTTTTTTTCCCTCCGAAATATTTGTGACTACCTTTGGTTGAAACCACAGATGCATGACCTGTAGATACAGAGGACCAACTGTAGAATGCTTACTCCCTGCTATCAGACCTTGCATTGAAAAGAGAAAGGACTTTTTAAAAGGAGTCTTCTAACCCATCTTCATAAATGTGTGTTTCTATGGTTGTCTAACCCAAGGCTGGAAGGCAGAAACAAGCAGACCTCTGAGTTAGAGGCCAGCTGGGTCTACATCGTGATTTCCAGGCAAGCCAAGGCTACACAGTGAGATTCTATCAAAGAAAAACAAGACAACAACAACAAAAAAAGTGAAAAGTTCTTTGCAACTCTTTTGTTAGGACAGGTAGCTGACTTAGAGGGGCCAGACTTGAGAAAGTTTTGTTTAGACTATATCTGCAAAGCCGGAGCCACAAAGAACCTCTGGTCTCTTGTAGAGCCTTACAGGTTCGAGGCCTTGGGCAGAACAAAGAGTCAACACCAAGACTCTGCCCAGCACCCAGAAAGGTGCCTGCTTTGAACACATTTCAAGTGCTCTAAGGTGCAGATCAAGCGACTGAGCTCAGAGAGCACAGGTCCTGGCTGCTGCTTGGCGTGGAGGCATTACACAGCCCCATCCTGAGTTGCTGCTGGACAAGGAAGCCTGGCTCCCTGTTTACAGAAGGCTAAAGGAAGTGCCAGAAGTGCGCAGCTGGAAATGCCATTCCTCTCCCTAGGAAGAAAAGTCTCAAAATAACCTTAGCTTGCTTGAGGGGGAAGGCAAGTTCCACACTTATTGTCTACTCCAAGTTGGATTCCCAAAAATAAAACTTTTAGGACTAACTACATTGGGCCATTTAACCGTTAGTCTTGGAAACAGACTCGTGAAGAACCAGCAGACATGGAGAGAATCGTTACATTTTACATATGAAATAAAAATTTCCAGGCCCATCCTAACTGTCCATCAGCAAAGCCTGTTGGACCCACAGAGTTCCTCACCTTTGGGAGATGTAAATTTCTTTCAAATAAAAGAATCATTCTTTGGTGTGTCTTTCGTTTTGCCCATCTGGAATTGATTTCTTGCTGCATCTTGAAATACAAAATACTGTAGTTAATTAAAGCATCGCTGAATGTCATTTGCTAGGATGTCTTTCCCTACTGCTGACAGAAAACAGAAGGAACCGGAAGAAAGAGCCTGAGCTTCCCTCCCAGCCACCACTGTTCTCACTCAGGCAGGTGGAGGGACATCCCGTTTTCCCTAACAGTCTAAGGAGGCTGTGCCCGAGGGGAACGTGGCAGTACTGAGCCGCCGCTGGCTGTCCAGCTGCAGTGGCACCCGCTGTCGGAATGTGTGTCAAGTGTACTGCTCCTGGTTTGGATTCCACTGGCACTGAGTTTCCACCCGTTGAGTTTGCCCTTCCCTCCCGTTCCAGTCTCAGCCAGTTTCCCATGTAGCTGCCCAAAGATCGCTCCCTCGCTCGCTCGCCTGTGCACAGCGAGTTGTTCCTGCTTCTTCACAGCTGGGAGCGCATTCTGAGTGAGATCTTTGAGGGAATTCTGATGTTTCTTTCAACAGTGGAAAATATTCCGTAGCACTGCAGTTAGCCTGGCCTGAGATCTTTACCTAGTTTCCATCCATCGTCACCAGCTCCCGCTTCCACAGGACAGCTAGGGATGGCTCTCATGAGAAAAGAAGCACTTCCGATTACCCACCCCAGAGGGCCACGTGCAAGATGATCTTCCTCCCAGCCCTCCGCCTTCTCACCTACATAGCCAGGCAGAGGAAGCATTGGTGAGCAGTGGCCTATGAAGAATGTGTCCACTGGAAACAAAAGCAGGCTGGGATGGAAACTTCCACAGAAGCCCTGCTCTGCAGGTCTGGTCCTAGCACTTTGACATGGGGCCAGTCATTCATTCTCTGAACCTCATCTTGCAACATCTGTGAAAAAGGACTGTAAATCTTCCCAGTAATCCGTGTGTGTGTGTGTGTGTGTGTGTGTGTGTGTGTGTGTGTGTGTGTGTGTTCAATTTCATTTTAATCAGACAGATCCAGGCTGGTCTCAAAGTTCTACTCCTCCTGCTTCTGCCTCCAAAGTACTGGGGTTGCAGGTATGTACTGCTAAGCCCAGCTCTTCCCAGTGACCCGAGGCAGGAGGATTTCTGTGAGTTTGAAGCTGGCCTGGGCTGCATAGTTCCAGACTAACCTGGCTTGCAGAGTGAGACTGTGCCTCCTAGACAAAAAGTCAACAAGACTTTGCAGATCATACCAGAAAGGGTGTTGGTCTGCCTCTCTGGGCCATGGGAAATGTGAGGGTTCATTACCCTTTGCCAGCTGAGACTGGCTGGAGGACCTGACAGTGGGGGCACAACCTCCTGTGGCCAGCCCACCTCCCCTGGGCAGTGGGTGAACCCTGCTTCTCTGCCCCAACTGCATCCGCAGTGAGCAGCAGAATGTCAGCCTTGTCTTTCTTAGGCAGTGATGGTGATGTCCATCTCACTCAAGAGTTCTCAAATCCTATGCTCCTCCTGCCCTGGCCGCGGCTACTTTCCTAGCCATTAGGAATAAGCCTACAGACATGGAAGAGAGCTTCCTCTCCCGGTGGTGTTGGCTAGCCCGCCCACTTTGGAGAGTGGGACACATTTTCTTTGAATGCACTAGCAAAGGCCATCTTCCAAAAGAGTGCTTTTCATACGATGTCTAGTCTGTGGCTCCACTCTCCAGTTAGTCTTGCCTGAATGCCTTCTGTTGTCTTCTGGGGTTTTGTGAGGTTTGTTTTTTGACCTACAATAACCCCTAAATTATGGAGAGAGAAGCAGTCCTAATTGAAAAAGCTGTGGTTGGCTCACAGAATGGAATCCATTAAATGCCTGTCAAAAAAATCTTAGATTTTTCCCAAAGCTGCCTAATTACCTGCATTCATGGGGCAAAGTTCCTACTTAGCCCTGATGATTCAGAGACTGTGGAGAGATAAGTGTGATTATAAATTAAAAATTGTGGTTGTTGTTTGTTTGTTTTGGGTTTTGGTTTTTTTTGAGACAGGGTTTCTCTGTATTGTTTTGTAGTCTGTCCTGGAACTAGCTCTGTAGACCAGACTGGCCTCGAACTCACAGAGATCCACCTGCCTCTGCCTCCCGAGTGCTGGGATTAAAGGCGTGCGCCACCAACACCTGGCAAGAGGCTTCTAGAACTGTAGCACTGGAGAGGCTGAGGCAGGATGATCGGGAGGTAGAGTGCTTGCCGGGCAGCTGTCGGAACCTGGATCCATCTACAGCACAACCAAAAACAATACACTGCCTAAGGTTTGTTTTTTTTTTTTTTTAACCAGAACAAATTGTGGGAGAAAACCTACTGTGAAATGTCCAGTCCACCAAGACTGCTTCCCACTTCATCTGAGATGCCTTTCAGCTTCTGCTCCATAATCAAGTGGAATTTGCACAATTTCCATGACTCCTCCTGTTCAGGATAATTTTTCAACAAGTCAGAAATTAAGACCAGCTTCTCAGTAAACTCTCCTCTATTTTCAGGGTCAAGGAACATCTTTACATAGGGTGACAGAGCCCTGTCACTTAGTCTGTAAGTAAGGTGCAAGAAGACTGCATTCCACCGGTGCCCTGAAGGAAGTACCGTTACTGGCATCAGGGCAGCCACTGCCCGGCTTTCCCAGGCAAACAGAAGGATGGCTCATACACAGAGAAACAGCCATTCACAGACACCTGCCACCAGACCCAGGCTCGGGGGAGTCCTGACACCGTGTGTGTGTGTGTGTGTGTGTGTGTGTGTGTGTGTGTGTGTGTGTGTCCGTCCAGAGAGCACACTGGATCCCCTGGAACAGGAGTTACAGATGGTTGTGAGCCACCCTGTGGATGCTGAAAATCCAACCCAGTTCTGTGGAATAACAGCCCGGTGCTCTTAACTGCTGAGCCATCTCTCCAGCCCTCCCTTCTCTTTTTGAAGCAGAGTTTTTTACTCTGTAGTCCAAGCTCATTTCAAACTTGTGTCAACCCATCTGTCTCAGCCTCCCAAGTGCAAGGATTACATAAAATAGCCATACCTAGCTTGTGCTCTTTTAACTTTGAATTATATTTTTTTCAAATCTATTTTAATGTATACACACACACACACACACAGTAGTGCCTGTGTTGTGGAGGTTAGAGGACAACTTTTAGGAATTAATTTGCTTCCACTATGTAGTTCCTACTGATTGATTCAGGCAGCAAACACCTGCCACTGAGCCATCTTGCCAGCCCTTATCCCCGGTATTAGCTCTGAGGCTGGCAAGCTTTGCTGTCAGAGGGGAGTGCAAGAAGTAGGTCCCAGTTGCCTTGGTCCTGGGCCCTAGCTATAGAGGCCAACTATGTCTTCCATGGGGAGATGGGAGATGGCAAGTTCCAGGCCAGACAGGCCACATAGCAAGACCTATTCTTAAAACTACTTAAGTGGGTTGGATACTTTTTGTGTATGGGACCAGGAAGCTGAGAGAGAGAGAGTGTGTCCCTAAGAATATGTGCCTAGGTGTGGGGTGGACCTCAAAGCAACTACTGCTGCTTGACAAGATTCCAGCATTTCATCATTACAGACCACACCCAGGAAAGGGTGGAGCCACAAGACCAAAGTCTCCTTCCATTTTTTAGATCCCATGTACTTCACCTATAGTTTTCAGATTTATAAGTCAAGGGGTTCTAGCTATACAAAATAGGCATGGAAACTTTATTATAAATAACATGTTTTGAGTTTAAATCTTTTCAGAGAAAATCAGAATGTTGAAACTGTTTCAGTAAGTGGAAAATATTTTTGGGCTCAATGGCAAGGGGGAGGAGGATCAAAGGACACCCTCCACTGCCTGGCAGGATTGCTCAGTGGTTACAGCACTTGCTGCCCTTGCAGAGGACAACCTGTGTTCAGATCCCAGCACCCACTAAATCTAGTTTCATAGGATCTGATGCCCTCTTCTGGTTTCTTTGGGCACCAGGCATGTGAGGCCAGCCTGGTCTATATAATAAGTTACTGAAAAGATAGTCTTTTTTTTTTTAAAGCACATCTGGTGGCACACACCTTTAATCCCAGCACTCAAGAGGCAGAGTCAGGCAGATCTCTAAATTCAAGGCCAGCCTGGTCTATATAGCAAATTCCAGAACAGCCAGAGCTACATAGTGAGACCCTTTGTCTCAAAAAGAAAGGAGGATGAAGAAGAAAGGAAAAAGTACTTTACATCTGAGATCATAAATGACAATTTATAATTTATGTTTCAACCCAGCATCTACTTTATTGCTGCTTGCTTTGGTTTCACAGAATATAGAAATCTTGATCTGAAAATTTGTAAACAAGCCAGGAGGTGGTGGCCCTCACCTTTAATCCTAGCACTCAGGAAAGTGAAGCAGGCAGATCTCGGGGTTGGAGGCTAGCCTGGTCTACAGAGTGAGCTCCAGGACAGCTGGGACTATAGAGAGAGACCCTGTCTCAAAAAAAAAAGAAAAATTGAAAACAGACGTCTGTCCTCTCAACCACAGATACTCTCTCCCCCCACTCTGTGTGTGTGTGCGTGCATATGCTAGCATACCTGTGCCACAGTGTGCACATGAAGTTATGTTATGGTCTCACTTCCCACCTTTGAGACATGAGCTCTCTTGCTGTTCACTGCTGTCTACACCAAGCCAACGGGTTCCCCAAGCTTCCTGTGAGTTTCATATCTTTGCTTCCCATCCCCTGATAGGGCCACACTGGGATTACAGATATTGGTGAACTCTACTGTGTTGGATTTTTATGTAGGCTCTAAGGATCTAAACTTAAATTGTTAAGCTGGTACGGCAAACACTTTACCCATCAAGCCACTTCCTCATCCCACGTACATACATAATACATACATACATACATACATACATACATATTTTTTTCAAGACAGGGTTTCTCTGTGACTTTGGAGGCTGTCCTGGAACTGGCTCTTGTAGACCAGGCTGGTCTCAAACTCGCAGAGATCTGCCTGCCTCTGCCTCCTGAGTGCTGGGATTAAAGTTGTGCCACCACTGCCTGGCATCTCAAATAAATTTTAATAC